CCTCTTCATCCATATGAGGTGGTGTGACACATAATGCGAAATTCTCCTCGCAAGAGGTCTTGTGCGAGTCAATAAATTTGTTTCCCTTAAATTCTTTTTTGATAGTTCCTTTAGTTTTTTTTTTGGTCCAAAATCAAATTGTCGTTTGGGGTTTGGGCGGTGTAGAAACAATTTACATAATTGGAGGGATCATTCGAGAAAATTGATAATGCATAGGATGAAGTAAAAACTAGGACAATAGTTTGAGGGGAAAAGTGTAATTTACCCAAACCATTGCGTCGGAAACCCAACCCTATTGTTAGTTGCCTCTTCAAACCCCTGACTAAGGAGTTGCTGTTGTCAAATTAAGATTGCTTCTAGTCTCCACCATCAGGATTTGAAAAGAAGCATGCACATGCAAATCTCAAAAATAGAATCTTCCATATCACCAAGCGCATTCAATGTTTGCCTTGGAGCTCCCATGTTTTAATTTGTCCAAGACGGTGAAGATGTCTGTTTTTCTACTACTTTATTCACTAACTTCAAAAACATATATATAATTTACAAGCTTCTCATCCTGTCCACTATCTCTTCTTCCTAGAGCGTAGGTGTTTGAAACTTGCCACTGAAAACTGAAAGTACGCGTTTTGTGAGGTAATACACTGAAAAGAAATTCAACACAGTTGCACAGAGGTCCATTTTCTTATTAGTCTAATACGAAGAGTCTAAGAGAAAACATAGACTTAATTTATTCTATGACAACTAGGGGAAGAGAGCTTTTTTCCTCGGAATAGAAGATTTGAAGCTTGGAATCATGTGAATAGCATTAAATGCAAGGGAGTGGGAATCGGTCTTAGGGTTCCTACAACTATTTATAATTTTTGGTATTGATTCAGAAACCTCGTGATGGGGATTATAATTATGTGTTTGTTGCATGCTTCCCTTCATGTGGAATCTTTTTCTTGTGCATGGGAAAGTATTGGTAATCAGATGCCTAACTCCTAAATTAATCTTATCCATGTGACAACTAGCCCATTACATTGAGTTTCTATTATTAATTTAGATCTCAATTTCGTGAGACCTAATTCTCATCTAATACTTTTTTCCTTTGTGTATAAATCATCCATCAATAATGAGTGAGGAATTGAGTTATGTACGATGAGTCCCACGTGTATTCACGATAAGTGATCTTGTAAAAAAAATAGAGAAAATTATATTGAAGGAAATATCACCTAATTTCGTGTCAGATCACATTAACTCGTTTGCATTATTGTCTTTGTTGCCATTATAATATTCAACTATGCTTGGATTTGTAGTTTGCTGCAGTCTATTCATGCAATATGGTCATGGGTGTGTTCCACTAATGACACAAAAATTAGGACTATCACAAATTCATCCAACCATGAAGATATAAAGATCGGATGTGATGATTATAAGTGTTCATCGATTCAAGCACAGAGTTGCAGGTTTGATTTGTAGATCAATTTCTCCAAAATTGAAGGCAACATTGTTTATCATTTATCTTATTCAAATTCCGCTATAATCAGAAGTCTTTTTTTATTGGGTATGACTTTTATGTAATTGATTATTGCTGTAAAGTTGTATATCATGGATGAGTGTGTCAGTTTTTGTGGCACTACAATACAATGTACATGCATGGTCTAATTCCCCTTAACAGCTTTTACAAATGCATATTGGAACGGCATTTTTTAAAATTTTATTCTCTGGTGGTGTTTAAAAGATGAAAAATGTTATAAGAACTTAATTTAATGCAGTTATTAGATTGTTGTGAATTAGAATATTAGATGAAACATAATTTTAATTTAATGGTTGCATTTTAATTTAGTATTTTCCTTAAACGAGGAATGAAGTCGTTTGAAATTAGAAAGATGAAAGTATTACCTAAAACAAGGGAATGTCCGTCCCTCATCGAAGGAGTTAGGCAGTTTCCCACAACGTTTGTGTTGCTGTGCGAAAACGGTGGTGGGCGCCATTTTTGATGGTAGCAGGTTGAAGGGTGCATGGTCAATGTTGGTATTCTCAGTCTCTTTAATTTTTGATTATTTACCCTAATTAGATTGTGTCCGTTGATCAAATGATGAGAGAAACATGTTGTATGTATCAATTTTGATGTTTCCATGTGAATGTCTGCCAACAAACATTCACGTCGAGACCATCTCTATTTCCATCTCTCGGTCTTGGTTAGGGTTTTGCGTCGTTTCACACCACATTTCTAACTATTTAATTACTAAATCCTAACCCTAGTTGTTTTCTCTTGAATTTATTGCGCTTAGTCTATCTAAACATTAAATAATAAGTTTGATTTTTATTTTATTTTATTGTTAATATGTTTCTCTCTATCGACTCGTACAACACCCTAGAGGAGGAGTCATATGCATAGATCGCCTGCCTATCACGCACCACGACGGTGGTCAAACCTTACCCTTGATTCTACACAACGATTTGTACCAAAACACTAAAATGACCAAACTACCCTTGACGGTTACAGTGCCACAGCTCTTTGATCTCGCAGTCCATAACTGTAAAATCACGTTTGAACTCACGTTGCGGGTATTTCTTTCAACACCAGGAAATTCTAGTTCTCTCTCTCTCTCTCTCTCTCTCTCATTCTATTTCAAACTGATAATTGCGTTTAAATGACTAGTTTATTTAAAATAATTTTAAGCATGGATCCATTGTACACTTGACCAACAACTCCTCAAGTAGTTATTATAAATAGGCATTCCCTCGTTCCCTTCCAAACTGCGCTTGTGCTATAGTTGTAGTAGTTACATTCTCCTACACCACCCAATGGGGGGAAGCTCACCCTGTGCTTCATGCAAGTTGTTGAGACGTCGCTGCACCAAAGACTGCATCTTTGCCCCTTACTTCCCTCCCGATGACCCTCATAAGTTTGCCATGGTTCACAAGGTTTTTGGCGCTAGCAATGTCAGCAAGATGTTGCAGGTCTTCTTCCCTCCTGCCCTCTCTCTATGTATTTTTATTTATATATATACGTGTATCAGCATATCTTCCGTTAAATCATATGCACCTATGTTTTGTCAAACACTTTTTAGCATTGAGCTAATGAATAGAGATTGGCCGGGCTTCACTTGGTGAGTCCAGGATGACATCATTTATTAAAAAGCTCTATGTCTTCTGCTAAAAAACAAGACTAAGTACAGGGATTTGGTGGAAAAGAAAAACCCATGCTTATGTCCCTTTCCTCCCTTTTTCTACGGGGGTATGAGGACCGGCTCCCATCTCTTCTCTCTTCATGTATTTATTGCCGAGTTTTTTTGATGTCTCTTCTATATGTGTGTATATAGAGTACAGCTTTTTGTTCATTTGTTTGAAATCTAGTTGGATTTTGTATATACAATTTTGTTTGGTGGGTATTCTTGTACAGGAGCTTCCGATTCATCAGAGAGGGGATGCAGTGAGCAGTTTAGTATACGAAGCAAATGCAAGAATGCGAGACCCGGTGTATGGATGCGTTGGTGCAATCTCCTTCCTACAGAATCAAGTGTCCCAATTACAAATGCAGCTCGCAGTCGCTCAAGCAGAGATTCTATGCATCCAGATGCAGCAAGAGCCTGCCTTGCCGACACAGATGGACCCACCTCCAGCTAATGAGAAATCATTTCTTTTCTCGAGTAGTAACTTGAATAATCTTCACCAGTATCTCAGTTTTGCTTCTTCTAGCAATGTAATCCAAGACCCTCTGAAAATAGAGTCCCTTTGGACATAACTCAGTTTTCCCCTAATGAAATGCTGTAAAACTACATGTGCTGTTTTAACTCCTTTTTTTAATTTTATTTTATAGTTTTAATAATACTACGCTGATCAAATTTGGGGACTAAATTTAGAGTTCAAATGATATGACAGTTGTTTTAAACTTTTTTATTTGGTGCTATGTCATTTGAGTTTCAATAAATAAATTAAATAATATACTGTTATGTTATTTGAGTTCTAAATTTAATCTCAAAATTTAATGCGAGATTACTCTTATAATTTTCACTGCAACTGTTATAGCATTACCGTTATGGTTAGTGGTGTTTTACTATTTGACTTCTCTTCTGTATGATTAGTGGGTGGGGTGGGTTTTGGTGGTTGTTGTTTTTCTTTTGTGGAGTGGGGTGGGGTGGGGGGATGATGAGGAGGAGAGTGCTTCGACCCAAAAAGGAGCTAGTTGATGGGTCAACGCTTGCATGTGAGGATCGATATTGAGTAAGAGTAAAAAAGGGTTAACTGTTGCTTGACTTTTTTTTTTTCTGATTGGCACGTGGTAGGACGGTGCTCCGTTCCTCAGGATACCATCTGAAATTTGCCATGGCCGATCTATGTAACAACTGTTCTATTTTTTGGCAAGTAAAACCGATCTATTATTGACAGTGTACTTACAGGGAAAAAAACATGTAAAATCAGTGTGACAGAAAAACAAAAGCTTGCCTACTGCCGGAGGGAAGAAACAAGGAGCAGTAATGTTACACTCATCAAATTTTGGGATTAAATTAAAAATTTAAATGATATGGTAGCTGGCCTGGACTTATTTATTTGGTGTCATGTCATTTAGGCTCCAATAAAGACTCCAAATAATGTACGGTCATATTATTTGAGTTCTTAATTTGGTCACAAAATTTTGTCAACGTAACATTGCTGAAAAAGAGAGAAAAAATGCTACTTTGTTATGATTTAACCATATATTTTAGAGATCTACCAATTAGAAATGTGAGATTTGAAAGTGGGTCTCATTGAACACTGTGGCTCACTCTTATTCTAGTGGTTATAGTGAATTAAGCGCTCAAATTAGATTATCTAATTAAGTCTAGTATTGCTCAAAACAACAGGGTTTGCAATGAGCTCCACAAAGAGAGGATTAATCTAATATGAGTGTCATGAGTAAGGCATAAACCAAGGGCAGTAACCAAACAAAACAACAATATAATAGTGTATGATCTTTGATGGTACGTAAATGAAATTTCAAGTTTAAGCTCGGGAGTGGAGGTCAGGAGGAGAGCTCAGCTAGGAGATCCTGAGCTCGACAGATCAGGTCCAGGACCCTCTCGACTTGCACCCAGAAGAAAACACATAGAAGACAGCTGGAAACCACAACACGCCTCCTCAATAGCAGGAAGCGCCAGTCTAGACGAAAGATCCTCAATCGCCACAACCATTGCCTAGAATCAAGCGAGAAATTGCAAGGGAAAGGCGAAAATCTCGCTATAAACCCTTTTTATTAGAAAATAGGCTATAAATACTGTAAAAAGTCCTCACTAAGGGGCAAACAATAATAATTACTTCTTAGCTCCGGCTC